TTGGCGCCATCGTCCCACGTCCGGTAGATGCCGGCGGTGCGGCCGACAGCCACCGCGTAGTACCCACCCTTCTTCGCCATGCTGCAAATTCGACTTGTCAAGCAGTTGGGAATCCGGATGCTCACGAAGTGTATCCGGACATGGCGGGAGGCAAGTTGCCGACGAGGTCGGTTGCAGAATCGTTCACTTCACGGGCTCACTGGAGGTCCATACATACATATCCATTGCTGCAACAACGGGTTCAACTTGGCTGCGTGCGGCCAACGATCACTCGAAGATTGCAGGTTTTTCTTCAACCAACTTGCCAGCAAAGGGCGAAGAAGGTGGGTTACCACGCCTGCCATGGGTTGCGAGGCGGTGCCCCAGTGATAGGTAGTCGACGTCGTTGGCGACTTCTTGGCGACGGTGGACCGAGGACTGTGCTTGTGCACTTGATGCCTCGTCTTGGTGTCGTTCGAGACTGACGGTCGGACGTGGTCGTTGAGAGGTGTCGGGTTGAGAACGTAGCGCAACTTGCTCGGCGCCGCTGCGGTTCTTCAGAGTCGCGCCAGCGAGCCTTGGTGTTGGCTGCTGAGCGCAAACGTGGCGGTGCTTGTCGTCTGCGTCGGTGCTGATGTCAAGCGTCGCCAGGTCGGCGTCCGTTGGCGGTTTGTCGACTCGGAGCGATCTTGGTCGCGCCGCTCGCTTGGAAGCCGCGCCAGTGTGTGAGGCCGTGGCTGGGTGGCGACGGCGTGTGATCTGCCTTGCGTCTTGGCTGGCATCTTTGCGCGTGGGGCTGAGAAGCCGTTGGTCGGGAGAGACGGGGATCTTGCCGCGACTTCTGATTGTCGATCTTGCGCGACTTGGCCGTGGTCGCCGTTTGCTGTAGATGTCGAGAGTGGCTCAGCACCGCAGCCCCCAAATGGAGCGGTGCTTGAGGTGCTTGGACGTGACGAGTTGGACGTGACGAGTGTTGTTGTCGGGGCGGGTGGCGGGGCTGCGACTTGTTGCCTCTCGTGGGTGATTCTAGAGGTAAATATAGTGAGCACTCTTGTGAAAGCGCGGCTTTTGATCCAGTTGCAAGGTCGCCGTGCCAGAGTCGCTGGGTACGGCGGCGCGCATGTACTTGGAATCGTCGGTTCGCACCAACTGGGCATCGGGCGCGATTTCCGCAAGGGGCTCGCGTGCTTCGATGCTGCTGGGCACAATGTTGGCTGAACGTACAGCGCTGTTGGTGCGTCTGTGTCGAAACAAGAGACATCGGGTCGTCACTACCGTCGCCGCATCGGAGTATCGGTGCCGTCGCAGCCAGCCGACGTCGGGTCGCTGCTGCCATCGCCGCATCGAAAAGCGCCGGTATTGAAGCGAGAAACGCCCGAGACGCTGCTGCCGTCGTTGAGGTGATGCGTCGGCGTCGAAGCACGAGACGATCGGGACGCTGCTGCCGTTGTAGAGCCGAAGCGCCGGTGTAGTAGCGGCAGAGGACCGGGACGCTGCGGCAGTCACGAGGCAGCGACCGCGCGTGGCGAGAACGCCAGCTCACAACGTTCTCGTTTGTCTAGGCCCTAGAATTACCCCGCCTACCCATCAACAAAAAATGCTACAGCTGAAGTGCTCATGCGACGTCGCACTTCCGTAGGCACTTCAGCGTTCTGCACTGTGATGTTCCTATCGCACGCACCTTGTGGACAACATAAGGAAAATACTATTTATTATAGAAAAGACTATGGATGGTGAACATTAATGACTTATTTCCGCTGCACTACGCACGACATCGAGACGCGAAGCTACTCGGTCGACACACACTGTGGCCGCGTGCGGTACTTGCTAGCAGCCGGCGGTGCCGGTGCTGTCGTGATGTACGCAACAACCTTGTCGAGGATCGAGTCGCTCGACGGTGGCACGATGTCTTGCGGCACCGGGGCGGCCGCGAAGGCATACGCCGAGAGCGAGTTGGCATCCGTTGCCGACTCAGGCTCTCGGGACACAGGCGCGACAGCTTTGGCAAACTGCATTGAAGGCGAGAGCGTTGGGACATTTCCTGTAAACTGCCCACCAGAGCTGCCAAACGTAGACGCCGTCGTGTCCGCGTCGTACGAATCCACCGGTGTTGCAGTCGTAGGTGCATCCGTCGGGTAGTCCTGGTCAAACGACGTCGCCTTTGTGGGTGCGTCGGTCAGGTAGTACTGCAATGTCGCCGTCGTAGGTGCGTCGGTCGGGTAGTACTGAACGTACGACGGAAGTGTTGCGGGCGCGACGGTTCCATATTGAAGCACGCCCGAAGGAGAAAACGTCTCAGACGCGGTCGTCGCGTACTCGTCACCACCATCTTCGATCGGGGCAGGCGTAGCATCGCTGACCGAGCCAGCCGACGACGACGTCGTCGAAGCAACTGCGGACGCGATGGCCGACGCCACCGACGACTTGACACCGGCGTCCGCCGCGACTTGTTGAATCTCTTGGACCGACGCACCCGACGCAACGGCTTGTGCGATCAACGCGGCCTGGCCCAAGCTGGCGCCATTGTCAAGCGCAGCTTGGATGATCTCGGCCACCGGTGCCGGCGTTCCGGCGGCAC